TAACTTACCAATTTTATATAATATTTTTTAATTTCTAGGATGGGATGATTAACATTTATGGCAGTGAAATTTAAATTATAGAAATAAGTTCCCCTGAATCAAATCCCAATCTTAAATTTTATATGGAAATTTTTTAAAACAAATGTTATAAAAGACAATGTATAGGCTAGATAAATAATAAATAATGAATAAAACTTATCTTTAGTACACAAAATATGTCTTATCTTGTAATTCACGGGAAACACACAATTTAGTGATAAAATAGTTTGGTATCCGGTTGTTAGGTTTATAAAATAATAATTAATAATGACATGACATGTTAATATGATTGACATTTTAATCCTAAAATGTGATAAATATTAAATAATATGATTAAATAATATGATTTTATAATTAATATTATAAATTATACTGACGATTTAAGATATTAATATTATTATTTATTTTCGGGTCGGGTCGGGTTTTTGGGTCGGACAGCTTTTACAACCCGACCCAAGCCCGAACCCGAAAAATTTTTTTTTTGATGTCCGAACCCGACCCGAGGCTCGGGTCAGCCCTTGCAGTTCTCTGGTTGTAACCATAGGGAAATTTTGTAGCAAGGTTTTTACAATCGGATGCCCTTCCTGACATCAACCTCTTTAAGTGGTTTTTACACCCCGTCAAGGAGACGGTGATCTTATTCTAGACCCAGATCACAGAGAACTTTTAGACCTCTATTAGCCGCCAAAAGACGTTGCCATTCCCCCGCCACGATGAGGCTGAAGGTAGGATTAATAAAAATGTATCAATAAGGGGAGTAAAATTATTTATTTTATAAAAATCCTCAATCGTAGAGGCATAAATATTTAAGCGATTGGACTATCTAGAAACTACTCTAGGTTTAAAATTTTTAATCCCAAACATATTAGCGATCACCTTTACTTTCTCATTATATTTCCCAAATTAAATGATTTTTCTTTTATTTAAAAATTATAAAAAATTAATTAAAATTTTTTAATTAGTTTGACAATATAAATTTTATTATTAAATTTATAAATATCTAATTTAACTATGCCAGAAAAATTTTCAATATATTTTTATTGTTATTCAATATTACATATAATTTTTAATATATATTTTTAAACCATGTTATCATTTAAAATTAAAAATTTTTATTTGTTTTTTAAAATATATTTTCATTTTCATATCGTATATAATTTCATTTATAAATTGAAACCATTATTAATACTATATTTAATATACATTATAAATATTAATAATATATTTAATATACATTTTAAATATTAATAATATATTTAATATACATTATAAATATTAATATATTTAATATATATTATAAATATTAATAAATAATATTTAGTATACATTATAAATATTAATAATATTTAATTTACAATATAATAAATAGATCTCAATAAATGTTTATAGCTTTCTTCTGCTTCAACACAACACCAATTATGGCCTAAAAAAATAATTAGGAATAAACTAAAGCAGGGTTTACCTTCGCAATAGCTAACAAGGCCAAAATAATGTTATCATGGGTATTTGGTCTCTATTTTATTTTAATAAAAGAGTAGACATGATTTACAACAAACTGATTTACGTTTTTGCCTAGATAAAAAAATATTTACAAAATCTGTTGCTAGATGTATTTGACCAGAATTCATTCTCTTTTATTGAAAAGGATGATTATTTTTGTTTTAATAATATGCCTTTTAAAAATAATGAGACTGATGAAATTGAATTGAAAATTAGAGGTCTGCAATATGGACGGGCGTGGTCGGGCTTCTAAAATATTACCAACATTGGTGGGTGGCGGGCGGGTTTTTAATATTTAAGTTACGTGAATTTTCTATTTTTCAGCGAAATGAGCAGAACAGACTTCAATTTATTAAAAATAAAAGTTTTATTTCATAATATTGCATATTATATATGCTTAATTAAAAGAACATTAAAATAATTTTTAGGCGGGCGGGTGGGTTAAACATGATTTATTATGGGGCAGGGCGGATAAAATTTTTTTTAAATTTAAAAGTGGGCAGGCGAAAAAAATTTAAAACAACCAGTGGACAGGATTTTTGGCTAATAATCTGTCTATTACAAACCTATTGGAAATATTAAATTATACAAAACGATTTATCTTTACGTCAGCGACTTATATAAATACATCAAAGAAATTTTTCTAAAAGTATAACATTATTTTGCCTTCTTCCGCACAGTTGAATAGATATTTAACTTTCAAACCTCAATATGTAAAATAGGCATAGTTTGCCACATGTTATTTGAGAAATTAATAATATTAAAAAAATATAGACTGTATAAAATTTTTAATGTAGTCTATATATTTCTTATATACGAATTATTATATTGTCCTAATAAAATACTTTTTAATATTTTTTAACAATTTTTTATCATATATAATCATAATTGTAATATACTTAGACATGTCCGCCGCCGGTGATTTTTGACTACGCCGACGCCGCCGCCAAAAAAGTGTCAGCGCTCAACACGCCGCCGCCGATGTAAAAAATCGGTGGTGGCGTGATATATATTTTTTATTAATAAAAATAATATTATAATTTATTTATGAATTGTAATTGTAATTGAAATATTAAATATTTTTTAAATTATTAAAATATGCGATTTTATTTTTTAAAATTAATAAATATTATTTGATATAAAAACATTTGATTTGTAACAAGATGATATGTTATTATTAGGCTAGAATTGAAATATTATTGTTATTTTATTCTTTTAATCTTTGATGTTTTAAATCTTTTTTATAAGACCATCAATTATTATATAAGGTGTAATACGATATTTTCTTAAAATCTACAACTCATATAATATTTATTTTTCCTCATAAAAGGATATTTTAATTAGATTTTATTTTATTGCCATTATAACATATATAAACATAGCTATTAAATAGAATGGAGAAACCGGATCTCAAATTATTTAACCCCGATTGGGACCTGGTGCATGAACTTTTGAATTTTCTTGTAACCTTCAAAAAACTGTTGAATTTTTATCCGCCAAAAAAGGATTTTCTATAAATTTATACTTATTATTTCGTAGTGAAATTCAAAATCATTTAATCATAAAAGAATATGATAGTCCTCCCATAGCATTCATTCAACAGAATATGCTTACTAAATTTGATCATAGATTTCCAATAACCCATCCTCAGGTAGTATTTTAAAATACATAAATTAGTTTATTTTTAATATTATTTCTCTTCGTTTTGTTTTTTTACATAGGTGTTAGGAGCACTTTTAGATCCTCGTTTTCAATCTATAAATATAGTAAATGAATATTTAAGGAAAAAAATATTACTCCGGTGCAATTTTTATGTCAGCACGCTACCTCTCTGTTGTCTTACACGGACGAATTAACTGAATGTGAAGCGACTTAAGTTGCTTCAGAATTCGATTATCTTAAGTTATTGGCTACCAAACATTCATTATTCATAACAATAATCTAGAACAACAAGACTATTTAACTAGTCTAGAAAAAGAGTGTCATTAATTATTTTCGCCTTATAATTTAGAGATAAAAATGTCTTAGATTTTTGGAAGATCTTTCTAAACTTTCAATATTAGCTAGAAAAGTCCTGTGCATTCCAGTTACGAGCACCCCCAGCGAACGTGTATTTTCCATAACTGGGCTCACTCTGAACTCTAAAAGATTATCATTATGTCCTAAAAATCTAAATAAAATGATATTTATACATGATAATTATAACTTAATAAAATCGTTAAATTATAGTAAACATTATAAAGCATAAATTTTATTTTAAAAATGTTTCCAATGAATTTATAATTTATGTTAAAAAATATTTAGCGCGGCCGCCGATTTTTGTGGCAGCGTCTAAATCGATTCCCCCCCCCCGCCAGCTGATTCCTTTAAAAAAAGAAACGCCGGCGCCGATAATAATGTCTGCGCACAGGTTTAAATACACTACAGTAAACGCCCTATAGGGAAATATATTATGAAATGTAGATAAATAGTTTTCTTTAGCATTATGTCTAATTTTTTAACACAATCCAAGAATATATTATTTCACATTATGTCAATTTTTTAAAGTATTTTGAAGTATATGTATCTAGATCAGAAAACCTTCATTGGCCGGGCCTGTCTGCATACCATCTAATATTATATTTTCTACCGGGCCTAGCTGTGCTTGTCTTTTTGAAATTTTTTTTAATGGGCCAGGCTTGGACCTAAAAAAATTTTCATTTAAATTTAGCTTATTTAAAACAGTTTATAACTTAAAAAATATTGCAATTTTTTTGTTCTAATAATGATAGATTTCAGTGAGCAACAAAATGATTGCCTATGCACTGAAATATTGTTTATTTTCATTGAATACAATAAATTAAATTTTTGGATATGGACTTAGGCAAAATTTTTGAAACTTATTATCGGTTTGGGCCGGGCTTGGGAATTTTTTTTAATATTAAATACTGTCCGGACCGGGCCTTGTAATTTTACGGCGCTTTATCAAAAAATTCAGGGCATGAAGTTCTTTGATCTAGATATTTTTTTTTATTAAGTATATAATTTTGAAAAGTATCTTTATCTATCTCTAGATACTTTAAAGAAAATTTGCCCATCTTCTTTATACGGATAAAAATAACTTTTACCTCCCTTTGATATCAAATCGGATTGTCCAATTAATCAATATTGGCCGAAGTCTTTGAAAAAATTTGTTATAGAGTCGATCATCGGTACATCCTTTATAATCATGCAATTAAAATTCTAAGATGAAATCTATTCCACACTCTTCTAATTTTTCTATACTAATTCTCTCTTCATTAATTTTTGTTTCTGACACTCTTCTATCAACGCTATAGGTTTTACTATATATCCACTAAAAAAATTCTCTGGAATCTTAAGGGCTCTAACGGGATAGTTATAAGCAAAATTATATTATTTGCATAAATTATTCTTAGAAAAATTGTTAAATATATATTTTTTAAATTAAATAAACAACTTAGGATGGTGAATGCCTTTTCTTATTATGGAATTGTTTTGATGACGACCGAATTGTTTGAATCCGGTGACAAATGTCATGGTTTAAAAAAAAATTTGTACTTGTTATTTTAAACATTAGGATGAAATTATTTTTTCCTAATGAAGAATTGTTACACAGGAGACGAACCATTATTTTTTACTTTCAATTTTAAACATTTGATAATTTCTAAAATACTTTTAGGAAACGCATTTTTATGTTATATTTGCTTGAACATTCTCAGAAATGTAATTTTTGTTTAGTTTAAAAAAAATTTAGAATTGATCTGTAATAAATTTAGCTGATTTTAATTATAAAGCAAAAATGAACTTTTTTCTCTTATGAAATATACCATCACAAATAAAATAAAGATTAAACGTTAAACCTATATTGTTTATTGGATATATTAAATTTGTTCATATTAACATGATTCTGTAATTAAAATTATTAAGGTGGCTCAGGCAAACAATTATCGCAACCTTCGTGCTTATTGGATTGTCACCCTTTACAAAGATCTGATTACGTTGATTTATTGTGGACCACATTGGCTGAATTCCCAGGTTATTTTTTTTATTCTTTAATTCATCTCCATTCTGGGAATTTATTTAAATTTCTATACCTCCCCTATCATTTAAGATGTTATATAACTTTTAAGGATTTTAGTTCATTTCCACAACTGTTTCCAGCTACCTTCCTTATATTAAAGTGCTATGATATTTTTCAACAACTGTGAATAACATATAGTGATTTATTAAAGAATACAGATAAACTTTCTAATGCACCGGTTGGACCAAGATTTTTGCCCAACTTTGAAAGCTGCCTAATTTACCAAGACTTTTTACTTTTTTAAAAACATTTTACTATCTATTATATTCATAATTTAGCAAAAAGTGAGATTATGATCAACTATTTTTTTAATTTTTATTAATTCATCAAAGTCTTGAGTAAAAGTATGTTTGTATATGTTATCGTTAATGTTTTGTTATAGGCCATAGGCATATCCAGGATTTTCCTATGGCTTTTTAGCTAGATTTTGGAAAGCTTTTATCCGGTCTTTGGCCGGGTCATAAATATTATCTATTCTATTAAACTATTCATAATTCTTATCAAGATTTTTAGGTTTTATTTAATATTTCACGCTTATGGATATTTAGAAAAGAAATAAAGATTATAACCCAATTTTTTATTATTTTAATTTATGTATATATTATATTTAATTTTTTTTTAAAATGTAGAATTGGAATAAAGTTTAAGTATTATAATTTTTTTTAAAAACTAGCTTCAGCTAAGAAAATTCTCATACAATATAAGTAGAATAAATTATTTTATTGAATATACTAATTGTAGTGTGTATAAAATATTGACTAGAAAATAATTTTAAAATAAGTTTTATTAAATACTATAATTATAATGTAAATTTTAATTTTCGTTGGGAATTTGCCAATTAATCAAGAATTCATTTGGCGTAAGGAACCATATCTTTGTTGATATTTAAAAGAGCTAACCCATTTATCCTAGATTCGGAAATACTATTTTGGAAATATGTTTTTAATCTTCTTAAGTTGGAAAAGGTCCTTTCATTCGTACATGTTGTAATAAGTAAACATGCAAGAATATAAAACAACTTCAAAATATTTGGTTCCTCACACCGATTTAGCGCATCAATATCATGCTCAGGCAAAATAACAACGTAGTAAATATTTAAATCGCAATTCAAATTCACTAATTAGATTGATTTTCTAATCAATATCATAGAAATATAATTTTGCTAAATATTTTATTTTATCAATAGTAACATTAGAAAACATGGAAGTGTCTTTAGGTAATAAACTTTAAATATTGTTAAATACTTTTTTATCTCATGCTTTTATTTGCGATAAAAAAGTGTCCAAAAATGGGATGAAAATTGATATTTTATAATATTCTTCAATTGAACCAACATTTATATTGCATCTTAATAATTACCTAGGTGCGAGACGAGGTTTAATTAATGTTATGTCATAAGATTAGGCTTTGGATTCAACGTCTATATAAATATGATGAAAATATTGACTACATTCATCCTTATTGTATTTAACGGTTCGTATATATTTTCCTCCAAATCAATCATTGAACCAAATTTAAATTTGGTTTTTGTATATTTCTACATAGTATTTGAGGTAAAAAGATAATTTATTATCGCAACAAAAATAAATTCTGACTGATCTATAGAATTTATTATTGATATCGCATCTGAAGACACATTACTATCGTGCTATTGAATAATTTCATTTAAAGATATTTTGATCCTTTCTTCCAGTTCTATAAATGCCGAAGCTGGATCATAACGTAAAACCCATCGAGTATGGTATATTTTTTAAAATTTTTGAAAATGGATTTCTGGTTCATTTATTTATATAGTTCAATTTAAAACATTTCACCACTTCGGATATTTAAAAAAATTACAAATTTTGGATATAATTGCTAAAAATAAATTATATCTATTTTTTTTAAGTTAAAATACCCATTACATTGCTTATAGAGAAGTTAGAGCACATGAATTGCAAAATTCAACGAATGATATGTCAAGGGAACATAGATAGCGGATGTGTATTTAATTTAATATGTGCTTTGACACCATTTAAATGACCACTCATAGCTGGGGAACATCAACCTTGTCTTCGCATTAAATTTTTATTTATCTTATACTTCTTTAAATTTAACAAAATATTTTAAGAGTAAGTTTAATGTTGAAAAAATTATAATTAAATTGTTGCAAAAATTTAACCTGGAGGGGGAATTTTTTTATTAGCTTAAAATGATATTTATAAAAACTGGCAAATTTTCCATGGGGGGGGCTTGGTTACGCGCCTGTTCCCGACAATGTGTGCATTGTCTGATTTTTTCCGGCAATTCTTTATAGTGGTCGGCAGGCTGTATGACTAAATACTGCATTGCTTAAAACAATTAATCATAATCAATCAAAATCTTATTATATAATTCTATTTTTATTTAATATTTCGTGATTTGAAACCGACCCTTTAACTAAATGCTTCAGTGTTATGCCTGAAGAAATCTTTATTTTTGCTTTATACTTGTACATTAACGTGTTAAGCATTATTCCAAAAATTATTGTAAAAATATTGTGATTTAACGATTGCCGAGCTCAAACCCGACCACTTACTAAATATTCGTTTATCCAAATTTGCTTGTAATATCAATTAAAAAATGATAATTTTTGTTTCATATCTTTATAAATACATGAAAAACATTATCCCAAAAAATATTAAAAAAATATCGTGATTTGACCGATTGTCAAGCTTAAAACCTTTTCTCAATATATCATCAAAAATATTCAAAAAATAATATAAATATATATAATTAAATGAGGCTCAGTTATTTCCTAGTATTTTCTTCTCTATTTGATATAATTATTTCCTCATGTATTTTGAAAAATATTTAACAAAATAGAAATTATGAATAATAAATTAATTATAATATTGTATTTGTATGCGATATTAATAAAAAAATTAAAAAAAAATTGATATTTATATGCGATGTAAATAAAAATATTTTTAAAAAATTGGTATTTGTATGCGATATGTATAAAAAATTAATTTCTGAGTTGATTATATGATGGAGTATTTAATGATTAGGATGGGATGGAACAGTATGTCTGATACAAATATCTATTGTAAAATTAAAAGATTGATTTGATATATATATAATATATATGAAAAAGAGTAATACGTTTAGGGCCTTAATTTTCAATTTTAATATTGATACTGTCCTATTTTTTTTTATTTTAAAGGTTTTTTTTTTTTAGAAATTTTAGGTTTTAAAAGTATTAGTTCACCGCATGATGACATAACCTTTTCTTTTTCCAGTTTTTTACTACCTTTTATTAAATTTATTTACCTCATTTTTTTTATCTTCCTCACTAAATTTCTCCCAAATTGATAAATCTAAGTGAAATGATTAATACCCCTCAGCCAAGTAATATTCTCCTTTCCCTATCAAAGCTCTTTCAAGATCTTCTTGTATTTGTACCTTATTATTTATTATATCATAAGTTAATAAAATGACGTGATTTCCAATTAGTTTAACTTTTAAAAACATTCACAATTGTTGTTAGTTCATAAATCACTTATAAATTTATTTTTAATAGGAAATAAACATAATTGCACAAATTCTTTTCTAAATAAATGTTAATATGTTTTATAAAAAAATAATAGTGATTAATTTCGCAAAATTTAAGTAAATTATTAAGTTTATCAAAAAAAATATATCATCAGAATTGGAAATACCATGCCATTGTTTCCAAAAATTAAAGATATTGTATTGTTTCTTATTACTTCGGGAACCACCTCATTATCTCTTAAATAATTTTTAATATTTTCTTTTGGAACCCCCTCTTTATCTCTTAAATAATTTTTAATATTTTTTTTATATCTTGTGCATAATAATTGCACGGTATTCAGAAAATTTTGTTTTATGGAGGTAAGTAGAGCCTTGTCATCATCTGTTTTAAAGATTATATTATTTTTATTAAATAGGTTTTTTTTACAATTTCCTTTAAATCTGAAAAGAAAATATTATAAGTTTGTTAACCTGCATTCCCATACAAATAAAGTGGGCCGAGAAAAATTGGATAATCCTTAGTAGACCCCAGGGATCCAAGCCGAAACGAATATCGGTTCTGGTTAGGATAAAAATAACGGTTCAAGGTTCAGGTTCGGTTCGCAAAAAATAAAAATATCGGTTCGGTTCGAACCTCTAAAAACCTGCTTGAACACTTTTGTATTCAAACCTATTTTTTTAAGTAAATTTTTTTCTGTGTATATTTTTATATTAATATTAGATTGGTTCTTTTTCCCAGAGATTCGAACCAAACCCGGAGAATAACTGGGTTTTTGAAAAAAAATCGGAACCCGAAACGAACCTGAACCCCGTTTATAAAATTCCCCAAACCCTGAACCGAACCCGGAAATTTTTTGAAACTGGTCTTCAAATTATGTATAAGGAAAATTTTTTTTTATTTCATAATTAAAATAAAAACACATAAATAAAAACCTTCATTTTTATTAATTGCACATTATAAAATAATATTTAATTAATAAATATAACAAATAAATATCAATGATTAATTTTAATATGAACAATTACTTAAAAATTTTTTATTAAGCCGCACAATTAATATATTTTCAAAATTCTTCTCACTCAAATTACATATATAAGGAGATAATATAAATTTAATTGTTGAGAAACATATTTCCACACTGGGTAGCTATCATTGTCATTATGATATCAGATTTGATGTGCCATTTATAATATTATATGTAAATAATTTATATATTATTTATTTTTTCTCTACACATTATAATTTATAAGCTTAAAATATTTAAAAAATGTTCTAAAATGGCAATATACTAAAGTTTATAAAAGTTTGACTGACGCTTATCAATCAAATGTAATTTATAATAATTTTTAAAATAATTAGAATATAATTAAAATTTTTGCAGTATACTAGTAATAACTTAAACATTATTTTATAAGCATAAAATTATAAGGCTCGAACCGG